GCACAGGAGACACTGGGAGTGGCTGAAGACATGGTAGGAAGAGCCTGAACAGATTGGGCAAAGGAGTAGCCTATCTTCCAGTTGCTCAAAGGGACACAGGAGTGCCACAGTGCTGTGATGACGTGGATCTGTGGAAAGACCTTCTGGAAAGAAGTTGAGGAGAAGCAGATATATCAGGCAGCCTGGAAAATGGGATACCAAGGAATTTTGCAAGAGGAGAGCTCAGCTGAATGAGAGTCCTCTCAAGAGGATGAATTAACTGGAAATTCAGGAGAAGATGTATGCACAATACCCAGTTCTTTTGTGATTTAACCCAAAATCATTCCATGTTCTCCATTCCTCACAAAGCCCCAGTTCTCATGTCTTCTGACTATCTGAGCCTTCAGTTAGAAATAAGTCTGCTGGTTCTTCAGGTCATGGAGAAAAGCTTCACTCAGGTAATCCAGTTTGGAAGGCTGCAAGCCTGGAGTGCAAGCTGCATCCCTTGGGATAGTGTGTGGGTTTCCTAGTGCCATTCACTGTGTTACATTTTTAGAAGTCACCAAGAGCCAGCCTGAGCTGCAGCACGTATTTGGGTTTTTAGGCCATGCATTCTACCTAAAACGTGGCAGATCTGTGGGAGGAAGATGGAACAGTCCAGAAATGGCATCATTTTGACACATGGAAGATGGTGATTCAGTTATTTCACAGGTACATGGACTGCTGCAAATATGCAGCTCATAAAAATCTTGACAGTGATTAAAGAAGCACTTTGAGAGTGTCAGTCCCCTTCTCATCATGCCAACTGGTCAGTTTGTTTTGCCATATGAGTGGATGAGGGCTCAAGGAACAGGTGAGCACTGAGGAAATCAAACTGCCTTCCAAGGAAGGAGTGTTGTGCATGAAGCTTTCATTGGCATCCCTTGATCTGAATGAGGAGATCTTGTTCTGTGGATGAGGAGAGGACCTCCATGTCTGAAGATGCTAATCCAGCACTTCTTGCTGCCCTTAAATTGACCTATGTAATTTAAACCGAAGCAACGTACAAGTGACACAGTTTCTGCTGAGAAAGTGCAATATGTGCCAACACATTTAATATTACACTTTTTTTTTCTGTTTAATCTAGTATCTGATGTGAATGGAGGGAAGAAATGATGTACAACATATTCCTTGCACCAGAGCCTTCGAAAAGAGAATGTAAATGCATGGGTTTGACACAAACTCCCCTTCTGTTAACACGCACTCACACAGGCTCGCCCAACTTGCCAAAAGCACAGTTAGCCAACCTACAGCGTGTAGGGATGTAATTTACTGAAGGGAGGGGACAGGTCTAATTTATGCACTTGGCCCTCAGAGCAGGGTTTACCTCAGTGCTTTTCAATGTGCAAATTCTGTAAATCTTACTGGGAGAAGGAATTTCAGCTCCCGCCAGGCCCGGGACATGCTGAAAATGTCGCTCGCACAGATGATGACTTGTGTTTAATTTGCTCTTGTGGATGGGCCTGAACCAAACTCTTTCATTCCAAACATCTCTAAATTTAGGAGGTTTTGGCATCCTAGTCCAGATATGAGTCAATAGCTCTCTGTGTTCCAAAGAATAACTATTAGGTTGCAAAGGTGGGAGTCGTTATGTAAATGGGATAATATAAAGGAATATCTATATTAATACTTTCATTATGCCTTGGAGCTAGGGGTTTGCCAAGGCTTAAGTGGACTCAGGATGAGCTGGACACGTCCAATTAATGTAAGTAATGTGACTTTTCTTGAGCAAATGTGACTTCTCGGTGCACATTACAGCTGTTGAGTGTTCCAGCTCTGCTGCATCTGGTCCATGGAGGTTTAGAAATGTGTGTTTGAGTGTTGAAACCTGCTCTTAGTTCTCATTTTGTTTGGTACAAAATAAATGTGTTCTGATTTTCAGTGCTTCTGTGAGGGAAATGAAACATACTGGTGTGTGTTATTGATAGATACATGGAATATCAATTCAAGAATTATGTGTTCATATGAAAAGTGCATTGCACCTCCCATCTCTTTCCTGATGTCACTGCTGTTACTGAATCATGTAAAACTCTTCTAAGGTTTCTCTCAGTGTAGCATCTGAATTTCTTCCACTGATGCCATAAGCAACATCTAACATTCTGCTGCTTCTCTCTCTTGACCACAGGGAAACCCTCTGTGCGGTTTACCATGGGGCTCAGGTGCTGGCTCACACAGGGCAGGTGGAAGACAAGGCCCTTGACTGTGCAGTTGTACTTTGAAGTTGGACTGTGGGTTTTTGGTAAAGGGTGCAAGTCTGCTCGGTTCTAGGGAAAGGAAATGGGACTTCCTTCTGCAACAGAACCCTTCATATTATGTAGATGTTTTGTGATTCACCTCTTGTCATATCCCAGCCTCACTCCAGGATGTCTCTTGAGTGACTGGGACTCACCACTGCCAGATAAAAGGGGAGGAAAACAGCAGCACTAAGAAAAGCTATATCAGTCCCTCTTATGGTTTCCCAGACTGGGAAAGACAGGCAGTTCCCCCAGCTCCTCCACAGCTCTCTGTGGCTCACCATGATCTCCACGTCCACTCACTACATGGGCCCTCATAACTGGAATTGTTCTTTCCAACCCAGTTGTCCCTTGCTGCTGTGACCCATGCTGGTCACACTGTGGTGGAAGAAGCCAGGTTTGTCCCTTTCTTTGTGCTGTCTGAAAAGCTGAGCATTTGGAATCACCCCCACATGGAAGCAGCAGGCAGTGTAATGGAGTAAGCACAATGTAATACATAAGGATCAGCTTAGCATGTTGGATCAGTGACACTGCAGCAGAACACAAACTGCTTATTCTTTTTCACAGCTGTTCTCCCAAGGATTTTAAGCATACATTCACCCTCAGCATGCAGGAGATTTACGTATTTCACTTCCATTGACATGGTAGAGGAGACCCTCCTCACTTGCAGATTTGCTCTTTTAATAGGCGTCCAGCACAAATGGGAATTAAGTACATCTGTGTGTCCAACAGAGAGGAGACCAGAACCAGCTGTAGGCACAAATAACTGCTTAGGAGGCCCATATTTTCATGCTGATTTGGTAAGTCACAGGACAGCCAAATCTTCCTTTTTAGGAAGGGGAAGAAAAAGAGAGGACCTCATCTTCAGATTCTATCGCCCGTGGAAGAGGAGAGTCAGCAGGGAGAGAACTCTGCGTGAGGTTCTCCTCTCCCTGATGGAGCAGCTGGAGCAAATAAGGTTCATCGTGGGCAAACGTGAGCTCATTTTGCCTCTACTCCCAGCTGGCAGAGAAGCCAGAGTGTTTGTTTCGGGCTCTGAGTCAATGCTGTGATAACTTGCTCGCGTGACTTGCTAATTGAAGTTAGAGATCCTTCGAGATACTGAACTACTGTGGCATAGATGTGCTTCTCTCAGTCTTAGTTGTCTTATACATGAACCTTTTCGAATCATTCATCTAAGTCAAATGTACTGCAAATGGTAGAAGGACAATGGGGATTTTGGGAGAGACAGGTAAGGCTCTGTACACGTTCTCACTGCTGGGAGATGCAGAGGTGAGTCATCTGCGTTGCGTGATGACAACCCAAGCACAAGGAACACAGTCCTCAGCAAAGTCCTTTTGGAATTAGCCACCCAGAAAGATAAATCTCAAAGACAAAAGAAAATGGTATTAGGAGGAGAGAAGTGGCAATGACGGGAGCCCTTAATTTGATGCCAATGATATTTCAGAGTAAGCAATTTCCCAGAGGATTATCGGAGATGTGAAGCGAATTGTAAGCACTGCTTTACAGGCATTTGTGGGCACACACACCTGCTTACAGCAAGGGAAAAGACAGTGCGTAAATGTCTGGAATATTACATAAAAGCTGTCTGGTAGACTGGGCAGAGCAATTAAAATCCATCTCGCTGAAGCGAACCCTGAGTGCAGGTCAAACAAATCTAATTTTTATTGTTCCTTGAGGAGATGTCTGCACAGGAGACAAAAGGGGGCTGCAGCCATCAGGTTAAAAAACCAAGATGCCTTTAAAAAATTAAATGTTCACAATAGTGCTACAGCAAGCGAGATCAATGATATATTGCAGCGATGGTTTAAAACTAATTGATGACTAATGTTGTAATGCATTTGTAGCTACACTGATCTATTATATATCTTGGCCAAGCTGAAGGGACACTTCAAGGAGAAAAATTGCTAACTGTTTTAACCCGATGGAACTTGGGGAAAAAATAGTTACTTTAAGAGATAAATGGAAAGGTTGTGACCCCCTAATGTACATCTGGGTCTTGCAATGCAAAATCAAATTATCATTAAACAGAATGTGATCTGTGATGGAATTAAAACAACTACAAAGCAGGACAGAAAGCTCCACAGAGAAATACAATCGTGCAGTCTGAGCCGGGACCATTAGCTAAAAAGCTGCCTGGCTAAAGAACTGGTGTAACAAGTTGGTATGGAATTGTTTTGCTCTATAATGAAAGTTGGTTTAATTGGAGACTGCAGGAAAAATGTAAGCGTATTTATAGCAATTTACATATGTAAGACATTCTAGAACCATTGCTTAATTAGTGTATAAATAATTAACAATTTACTCTAAGTTCTGAGTAACATGTGTCTCTCTGGCTCTTGGAGGGGAGACAGGAAGCCTCATTTTCCCCTCCTCATTTTTGTCATGCCTGAGGCTCATGGCTGCTGGGTTTTACCCTTACAGTTGGAATTCAGAGATGTCAGTCAGGCTCTGCTTATTTTCACATCTAATTCATGCAAAACCCAGGTTTCCTCCTGAGGCAGTCAACTGGCCCAGATTTGCTTCAAAGTTTGGCCTAGGTTCAGTAAATGACTCACTTTAACTAAGGTACATCCATCTTCCTGGCTGAAACGTAATATAGGAAGTGTTGTCAAAGAGCAGATACCCCCCTAGAACTACAGCTTACAGAATCAGGACCTTAGAAACTGAAAGTAATAGCTTGTTTCATCCCCTGGTTTCCTGTTACCCAATGTAAAGGACATTGAGTGGGTGTAATCAGAACACTGCTGCTCAACCCAGAGTACCAGTGTGGGCTTCTGCATGCTGCACAAGCTGCAAATGGCTGGGATGGATTCTGAAAGCTGAGCTGGGAGGAGCTGCAGTCAGTAAGCCTCTGTGGTCGGGGGCTCTGTGCAAAGTTCTGTGGAATAAATAAGGCAACATGTTACAAATGCAGATAATATTATGGGCCATTACTAAAATACAGATTACCTTGAAAAGGCCATGGTTAAAAGGCCAAAAATACCACTGAGATCTTTAGCATTGCTCTCAGTCTCTGAATTGCTTCCCTTTAATAGGAGTACATCCTCGTGGGTCACTTCCAACTTGAAATATTCTGTGAGTCTATACATGATATGAGATAACAATCTAACAAAGACAGCCCTCACCACTGGTGACACCAATTTCCTTCTGCTTGAGAATAAGTTAATGTAGGAAGGACATGACCAACCTGTGATACTGTCCAACAGCCATGTATTCTTCTATGATAAATTAACCTTCCAGTGGGAAGGGAAGATGCTTGCAATACCAAATTGCAGATGTTTTGTACCCTGAAATGTTGGATGTACCAAAACCCCCAAAGCCTCCATGTATTTTAACTGCTGTACATTAGGCTTCCTCCTTTGCCCTTACACAGTTTAAATGTGAGGTCCCTGGGCTCTCAACAACCACACATAGCTCTAGCAGGTGGAGTTGTGCAAATGGGCTTGCTTCTTAGCTGTTAACTCCGAATGGCTGGGATTCCATAAAGGGAAATGGTTGCAGTCCATGGAATAATTAATTATCCGCCATCCTAACTTTCCAGTCCTGCATCTTGCGACATGATGACGACTTTTCAGTGTACGTCACGATGACGAGGACAAGGCGTCAATTAGAACATCCCATCATATTTCCATGATTGCAACATAGTGTAGGTAACAGTCTCATGTTTGGATCACACTCCTAAGCAACAATCCCAGCAATTCTTGCAGAGGGTGGAGTTATGTACTCATGCGTAACTTGGAGTCTCATACTCCTCCTACTTTTGAAACAATCAGACCTAAGAGTGCAATTACCATTGATTTCCTTCCTCAACTTCTGATCTCACTTTTCATCCAGTTGTGTGCTAACTGTGGCTGGCAGAAATGGTGAAAATGTCCAGGATTCCTGGACATTTTTGTTGTGTCTTGCTTTTTATTTCACCTTCAGGTTTTCAGACTGATTAAAAAAGCTGATTAAGCCTGGGATGGTTTTGTCATTGCTTCGGAAAGACAAACTGTAAAATCCAAAGGGTAGCAACCAGGATGTGATTTTAAAGAATACTTGAAGCAGTTTCAGTCTGCTGCTTGTGCTTAACAAAGGAAGAAACTCTGAACTGCAGCTGTCTTCTGTGCCAAAAGGTTTTCTTAACTTGTGAACACATATTTCAAGATATGTTTTAACTTACTGATAGTGTTTGCTCCCCTTGATTTATCCCAAGGCTTTATGGTTGTCAGATCAGTGTAAGAATGCAAATAGGTAATGTAAAATGTGTTCTTTTTCTGTGTTCCCTCTTTATGTCAATATTATGTCAATAGTCTAGAGAAGTTTTTGATGTGATGCGCTGAGTATTCTGACTCATAAGAGAGCTCAACATTGGGTCCATCCTTTACCAGTTCACTGCTGTCAAAAGCTATTGCATCCTTCATCTCTCTTGACCCAGGCTTGATTTATACTTCCATAGTTTTGGTTCTGATATGGCTTTGAAACAGTGTTAACTTTCCCAGGAAGCCTTAAGAACCAAGGCATCTGCTTCATGCTGTTTGGGCAGCTCAAACAACTGCAGAGGGAATGGAGCAATCTCCCACTCTGACCTCTGACAGCATCACATTTCCACTGCCTGCAGCCTGCCCCCCATCACAGTGCCCGGTACGTGCAGCACTGCAGGAAGAGCTGGGGAAACTCCTGTTTTCTGGGCCATGACCTATGAAGCTGTATGATTTTAGGGAACACCAGGTTAGCTCCAGGAGGAGGGAAGTGTTATAGTTCTTTGTTTCTGATTCTGCACAGAAGTCATAAGTTTTCAACATCAGTGAGAGCATCAGTGTGCATATTCCCGTTTCCATCTGTCATGCAAAGCGTAAATCCAAAGCACTGTGTGAGCACAGTCATGGCCAAAATATTTAAAGTTACCTGAAATGTTGGGGAATTAACACCTTACATTTTTCTCCAGAGCCCTGAGTGGTGCAGACATTCTGTTAATCGTATATTACAGGCTCAGGCAATATATTAAGTTTGGGAAGTAGATGTATACAACAGAGACGAAGAAGAATGAACTGGATCCTCAACTGTCTTTCTGCTCATGGATGTCTATAATTGTTTCATTACATTTCTTGGGGTTTTATTCTGTTTTGCTGGGACTACCTACTGGCAATGTATCTGTAAGGAAAGATATAAAAGTAAGGGATTCTAACATGTAAGACGTACAAACTAAATCCTGTGACGTGTTCTACTATGAATATTCCTAAATGCCAGACTAAACCATCCCTCCAACGGTTTCTTTTACAGACTTCCCTTGTTCCAGAAACTTGGCTTGACTTAGGAGGAAACCCCATAACTGTGCCTTAAAACTTGAATTGCATCAGTGTGGGTAAGATGTTGGGCCAAATTCTTTACTGGTGTAATTCCATGGAAATCAGAAATACTACACCAGGGCTGAATCTGCCCTGTGGTAGAAAACTATCTCCCCAGAGGCAAGACTTTTGGAAACAGTATCATATCTTAATTATAAGCAGACAGTTTGTTTTGGGTTGTATACAGAGCATGAAAATGTAACTGCTATAGGAACTAGCTACATATATGGTGATTTTATTCCTGGTGTAGTGCTGTTTGGTTTATTTGTGTATGATTTGCAGGTGGCTGAACAGCCCACAAACTTCTTTTTATGTAATTGAATGAGTCCCTGTTCAATTTCAGATCATAAAGAATTACAGTGCTGGCTTTAGAGCATCATTTGTATGTTTTGCAATGAGTTTAGGAGAAAGGCTGCGTGTTGTTTATAATCTGGGAAGTACAGATTCCAGTTAACAATCACGCTTGGAGAGCAGGCAATCATATTTTTTATGAGTTAACAGATGCTGATGGTACTGTGCCTCCCAGGACTGTGTTCACTCATTTGGGAATTCAAAGGGCAAAATGGGATCTGCCTTTTGTAGCAAGTTCCAGGCATGGCAACTGGTGATGGCTGAAGTGTTGCTGAGCCTCCTTCAACCCTTCTATGTGCTGACCTGATTTTGGCATCACTGTGTAGTGTCTCACCGCTGTATCAAAGTACTTCACGTGAGCTGGTCAACGTGGTAAAAAGGCTTGAAAGGATGTTGCAAAAAATATTTCACCTCTGTTCATTATTTTCCTGGGATGTCAGGCATTGCGAAATTTCAGGAGCTCCATGGATTTTCACAGCTTGGTTTGTGAAATTCATTCCCAGCAAAACAGATCGTGATTTGGCGATTGTGCACCTCTGGATTTTGGCATAGAGCTGTAGTGGAAGATGTCTCTGGCTAAGCTGCCTCTGGATTTGGAGGGTGGGCAGAGCAGGGCTGTATGTCTGCTGCTGGTCAGTGAGGAATCATAGAATAGTTAGGGTTGGAAAGGACCTTACGATCATCCAGTTCCAACCCCCCTGCCATGGGCAGGGACACCTCACACTAAACCATGTCACCCAAGGCTCTGTCCAAGTCCTCCAGTCCTCTTGTTGAGCTGTAACCTGTCAGTCCTCACCACTGTATTTTCCTGTTCCAAAGGCAAAGGCTGCACAGCGATAGTTGCCCTCAACATCAGTGATCTCAGGAATTACTTGAATAGAAATGTTAATGATAAATTCATATTTCTAGGATTAAAGGCATATGCTATCGCTGTAGGGGTGCCTGCACTGTGTGGTTACAGACAGAATCTGTTCTGGGGAGTGAGTGGAGCATTTTCACGTGCTGGCAACAGGGACTGGTACAGCAACAATGTATGCAAAGACCACTGAGCACCTCCTCTGCACCACTGCAGCAATGGGCTTCATTTCTGGCCAAGCACTTGGGGAGGATGGGGGGGGGGTCTTCTTAACCTATTCTGTGGAGATCTGGCAGTCTTCCCAAAGGGGAACCAGCTGATAAAGACATGACTTTGAGCCAGCATTCACACCACAGAAGGAGTTTGTAAAGGTGGCAAGTCATGCATTTTCCTTTTGTGTATCACTGTATGGCAACAAAGTCATTCTATTTTTCCCCCATCCAGGATCACACTGTGTCACAGAAATTCACTTATGGCATTGGCAATGTGGTTTTGAAAGAAAAACCCCCGTGCTGTCTGGAATGCTCCACTGTTGGGTACCAGAGTCAGAAAACATCCTGCCTGCCGTGAACGTTAGGAAAACAAAGCAGCCCTGACTCAAGTGCCAAGTGGTCTGTTGGAAGGCTGACTCCCCTGAGAATAAAGAATATTGGTATCCAGCCGAGAGGGCGGGCAGGAACAGGCCCTGGGCAACACACTGGAGTTTTGGTGGAGCCTGTGATCTTGTATGCTTGTTTGTATCGGCTCCTGACTCCTGTGTTAAAAGGTGAGCTGCCCAAAACGTAAGGAAACGGGTCACACGTTGATAAAATCTGAATTCGTTTTCTACCTATATTTAGAGCCATGTAAAACAGGGATTTCTCTTTTTGGCTGCTCTAGTATCTAGGAGTAGCTTAATATCTCTATTTAAAACCAGAAAAAGTTCCCCAAAGGAAATATCCTTTTTTTCCTATTGTATACTCAAAAACCCCCTTCTTCTTGTTGCACAGTATTCAGTGGGGTTTACTTCCCTATTTCTGTGTTTGAATAAATAGTCCTAGTCTAATGATTCGGTAAACATTTCATCCAGAGTATTCCTCAGCTTCTAGTTCATATACCAGTGTTATACTGCTTCCTAAAAATGAGTGTGGAAACCACCCTCAGGTGCTTAAGCAAGGATGTGTTACATGACCCTTTATAAATCTCTTCTTCCCTTCAGTTGTTATGTTAGTCAATACTAAAAAGTAAAAATGCTCAAAGATCTATTTCTGCTTCTGTAAGTAAACCAATTTTCTTACCTGCTTCTATTGTTTTGGTGCATGGATTGGGTTTAGATGAAGTTTTCTGCATAGAAATTCTTGAAAATGCCACATGTAAGTGGGAAAACTGCAAAAGAAGAGGAGATTGTGTATATAGAGATAGATTTTACTTCCTTCGTTTCCTCTTTATCTTAAATTTAGATTTGAGAGGTAACAGATTATATCCCTTTGTTATTTCCAGTGTGGCAAAGCAGCTCAGTGGCCAGCATGGCTAGTGTCTAAGCTTCCACCTCTTCTAAAAACACTCAGGTGATGTGAAGTTCTTTAGTGATGCTACTTACGCTGTTCTTGCCCTCAGTGAAGGGTATGAGATGAGAATACACCCCAACAGTCTGTTTTTATCTGTGCTAACGTTTGGTGGTGAACCTGCATAAGAACGCATTTTTCCCCTCTGATGGTAGTTTCAGTTATCAACATGTACCCAGACTTTCTAGTTCGGGACTCAAAAGAATGCCCAAAGACATTCCTGTTCATCCTCTGGGTTTGAAGTGCACCCTGCTGCACTGTGACATCTTCTCTGGTATATTTGAGAATCCCGAATCACTGGATTTAGAAATGCCAACAGTTTTCCCACTTGTTTTTGCAGAATGCCCTATTGGCTGCAAAGCTAGGCCCAACATTGGCATTTCCAGCAGGGTTATGGTGGCAATTCAGCAGGACATTTTCTACTGGGGTGTCTCACTTGTGTACGTGTGCTCTCCTAAAATGACAGTTCAACAGGAGGCTGGAACGCTGGGCCAGGGAGGCTGAGAGATGTTTTTGTGTTGATCTCAATGGAGCGGGACTGGGTCTTTATTTCCTTGACAAGGCTGGAAAATGTTCATTCTGCCTCTTTCCCCTTCACACACATATTTTCTTTTCTTTATAGAATAAGTCATTTGTCTTTAGCTCACCATTCACCTCTCTCTTTGATTGCAGTTAATGGAATTGTCACCTTTATGTACTCATGTTCCATTTCTCAACCTGTCTGGACTTTGGCCTCCAAAGGTTACCACTGCTAGTGAAGTAATATGATTGAGTCTTTTTGGACAGATTTATGCAAAATTTCTTCTCCAGCCAGTGTCACATTTAGTCTAGTTCTGCAAAAGAGAATATTTCAAAGATGCCAACTGTCATCTAAAACCACTAAATTGTCCTGCAGTGCTGGTGGAGAGGACTGGGGGCCATCTCAGAGCAACGCTGATTTACACTACGGAGAGTTGTATCCTTACAGCTTGAAATACAGGCTTTTGTTCATAATGAAAAAAAGAATGATCCTGTCTCACACAAAGCACATTTAAAATGGCATTTTCATTAGTTACTCTGTAATGAAAAGGCAAAAGGGTAGATTTGAAGTGAATCTCATCAGAATCATGAAAAAAAGGGAGGTTTATTTGAATCAACAGTATCTGAAGCAAAACTACAAGAGCCCCACTCTAAGCAGAAAAAAAAGTGGCTGTGTTCCATTGAACTACATGCACCTATGAGATATTTTCAGGTTTATAGAAAGATTTTGAGATTATAGAGGATTCACTGCACTCGTATCTACTCTTCCTGCATCTGATACGAAGCACAAATTAATCAATCATCATTATTCTGCACTAATATAACACCTCTTAACCCTCAGCTTTCAGAATGTTTCAAAGGAGCAATGAATTAAGCCTCACGAGGTCTTGGGAATATGTGGTAAGCTAAACTTTGATTCCTTCACTATAAAAAAGGCATTTTCAGGACTTTGATTTTGGAGGCTGGAGATCTTGTAGTTGTACTTGAAAATATCTTCATTTTTCACCCTCTTGGAAAGAGACCATCTAGTTGCTAAGGAAGCATAATGAAATGGAAAAATGTCTTAGGAAGAATTAATACATTTGTCTGTATTTACAGACAGGTAACTATTTTTTTTCTATTTATTGGAGCAAAACCATCTATATAAATCAAGGTGCTAATGTGATATATCTATAAAAAAGGCAAAATCCCTGCCTGTAACTGAAAGGGTGCACAGAGAATTATTATTGCCGTGGTAGAAGTCTTGTTGTTTTGAACATTACACATTGTGTTGGATGAATTCTGACTGAAGCAAGTGCAGAGAAAGCTTATTAGATAACCCCAAACTTGCTGTTATGAAAGAAAATGTAAACGGTTGATGTTTAGCTTGGCAAAACAAAAGATAAGAAGGGGTTTAAATGTGTCTGCAAGTACGCTGTGGGAGGAGAACAAGTATCATTTATATGAAAAGAAAGTGTCAGCAATCTATGAGTAAATGAAGACAGAAATAATGTAATTCATTTTTAATGCACAGAGGAATAGGATTCTGGAACAAAACAGCAAAGAAGGGAGGTAGTTGGGAGGGTGAAGAGCAAGAGCTATAAACCAGAGCTCTATGAAAAGGCTTATAGGATTTGATGGTCAGAGGTAGTAGAAACACATCTAGGTCTGTTTTTCTGTGCTTCATTTTACTGCTTTTCAATTGAAATGAACACTTGGGTATATCCACAGGCACAGTACTTTGCTTTGGGTCACCCAGCTAACGTGAAACAGCTTGTTTGTGTCTCTGAACTCTATACTTACTCTCTGTGGTGTACTTCCTTGGTCAGCGTGGTAGCCTTACACTACAATTTGTTCCCCTGGGCCAGGTGCCCACATGCTTGGACTGGTCTGACTCAGATTGGGATGTGCACGTCTCACAAGAGAGAAATCGGCATCCCACCAGAGGAGGTGCAGACCTCCCGGGGAGCAGAGCAGAGCATGAGAGCACACACTCCCACTGTGCATGGAGCTGACTTGGAATTCCAGTCAGGAGGGTGGTATTTCTTAAAAAGATCTATCTATTCAGTGCAAAACATGTGGATTAATGCGAGAAAACACCAAATGATCCAGTTTGGGTCTAATGTCCCTTCCCACCCTGCCTAGACACAAGGTATTCCCAATGGAAAGTCAATTTTCACCCAGATTTTGGTTTTGTAGAAGTGTTTTCCATCAGAAAAGCATCCCAATGGAAAATTACCAACTGCTTCTAATACGAAGTGACCAGCGAAGCTCTCAAAATGATTCAGTGGCAAAGCTGGAATGAGAACCCACAGCTCCTGACCACAAACCCTGTGCTCCAACCACGAGACAACACTCATCTTTCCCTGAGCAAGGTTGTTCCTGCTCTGTTTCTGCCTGGGCCCAAGTGGGAAAACTCTGGAAATGTTGCAAGAGAGCTTTAATTTTGCTACAAGATTTCCTGCTGGAGAATATTTGGGGGATAATGGGAAAAATCCCTGTTGGCTCCCTAGGAGTGCTTTGGACATGATAATGTGAGGGTTTCCATGTGCTCCTCCCTAAATGGGTCATGGAGGGATGTGGTGGGGTCTGATCCTGTCCACTGCAGGAGTGCTCTGCCACTGCTGGCCTGTGTGTTCAAGGGGTGCATGGAGGGGGTCCTGCTGCCCCAACCTCCCTTCATGTTAAGCAAATCTCTAACTAAACTTAGGGTTCATTCCTTACATCAGGAATACTCCAGCTTTGCAGGTAAACCTCTCAAGCAGAGTCACCCCATGCAGAAAGTCCAACCCATGGCTTGCAGTCTTTATTTATGTAGACAGCGATTATATATTTATGGGTCAAGGTGGGGGATGTCCTCACTCTAGACATACCCTTCTGCTTGTCTCCCTCTATTTATTCTTCCCCTGGCTCTCAGTGGGGCTTCTTGCACCGCTTAAATGCTAAATGTTTCTGCAACCCCCACAGTTTCAGCACTCTTGAAGGGCAGCAGGCCTTCGGCTGAGAAATACGATTTAGCAACAGAAAGAGTCCAACCCCCCTCCTTGGCTCTGTTCTAGTCGCTTTTAAATAAAGGAGAAATACGATTCCCTTTTCCGAGGCAAAACCGCTCGTATCACTTGAATTCCTGACAGGGCACAGTGCGCGCTCGGCTTTCCAGGGCAGCCTTCGGCGTGACAGCTACGCCTAACACACAGCAGAGCCCTTCCACAGCGCTCGGGGCGAGCTCCACTCGCGGGCCCCCAAATGCAAACCAGATGCCGGCACCGGCCGGCGCAGCCTTCAAAGGCGAGCGGGGGAGGCCCGGCCCGGCTCCCGCCTCCCCTTCCCCGCCCCACCAGGGGGGACGGCAGCGCAAGCGCGACCAGGAGGAGGAGGACGGGGGGGGGGAGCGCGGCGGGTTTCCCGGCAGCGGCCGGCGGTCAGGAAATCGCCCTGTCAGGAAAAGCGCGGTTTGTGTAGCCCGCTCCCTGCGCTGCTATTGTAGTGTTTCAGGTCGGACAAGTAAGTGACTGCCGCTCGCCAGGACCCGGCCGAGCCTCCCCCGAAGCCGGGCGGGCTGCCCCCGCTTCCCGTTTCAAGCCTGGTGCCGCCCCTCAGCGCTGCGCGCGCTCCCTCAGCGCCGCCGCCGGCCGTTGCGGCCGTTAACGGCTCCCGGCCCGGCCCTCAACGCTCCAAGCAGAGCGCGGTGGTGTTTAGAGAGCGCCTTTCCCGTTCGTGAGGTGCTGCTGGCTGGGAAGCGCTGTCGCGATTGTGGTGGTTTTGAAGTAAACGCTCTCCGCCCTCCGTGTATAACACCGCTCCCCGGGCTTCTCAGCGAACCCTGCTCGCTGCACCCGCAGGCCGCGCGTTGGCTGCGTGATTAAATCGGCCCGAATCGGTTTCAGAGCCAGTTTTTGCGTCGCTAGTGGGGTATTAAATGATTTATATTCAATTCTCCCCGCCTGGCTTCCCGAAGTTCGCTTTTACTGGTGTTTCGTCACAGCACAGCCTATACATAAGGCCTAAATTTAATGAGAACTGGTCTGCCCTTTGTCACAGCCCTGACAGGCTCCAGGTAGCGCAGTGCCTGGGGAGGCTCTTGAGGTTTCACAGGGATAGGGTAAAGCACATGGCTTCTTCCCAGTGCCTCCTCCTGCGGACCACGGCAGAGGAGTCACCATTTTCCCTGCCCATGGCAGGGGGTTGGAACTGGATGATATTAAGATCCTTTCCAACCCAAACCATTCTGTGTTTCTCAGATGCCTTTTTAAATGGCAGCGCTCAGGTGACCTGGCGTAGGCAGATGGGACATGTACATCACTTAACATACTTTCTTAATCCTCCAGATCGATGGGAGATTTCCTTAAATGTATATCTTGCAATTACTCAAGTTGGTAGTTTCCAGGCTTGTATCTGCGGCACAGGTATTGCTGGCACTGGTGTCTTCTCATTGCTCTCTTCTACCACTGCCTCTTCCCTTGTATTGCAGCTCTGCTTTCTCACACCTTCATAGCACCATCTCCTTTGCATGGCAGTTGTTCCTGAGTTCTCATAAGGCTTGCGGGCTGGCACAGAGCCCATCCTGGTAACCTGGTGGAATTTACTCGTGCTGGGCTCACCATACCGGCTGTATTCCTCACTGGTGACGTGCTTTGGGCCGGTTAGGAACTGGTGACCTTGCAGATTCTTTCTCTAACTGCGGTGCCTGGGACTTGTTATCTAGTTTAGTAAGTTTAGCATCAGTGCCTCTTCTCTGGAGAACACTTAAGAGAGAGATTTAGGGAAAGGAGAAGAGATTCTGAGGTTCTTGGAAAGTAATAAATGGACACATTACTGTGAAGGTGGTCTCATTTTTTGTCCGTATGTATTTCCTCATCCTGGAAGACCATTAATTTATTGAAATTATTTTTTTTCTAAATGTACTTAAATATATTACAAAAACATACTGAAATTGTAAAGTGTCTTTAAATAATAATTCCTCCCTTCAGGAATATGGGCTGGTATATGGTAACAAAATTTTACTGGCATGGGATAGGATGAAAGAAGAAAATGGGGGAATTGGGTTCTTGTAGTGACAGCTGTTCCCAGCTGAAAGGATCAAGCAGAAAGAGATTTATAGTGTCAGGAGAGACTAAATAAACTAGTACTATGCTGATAGGTTTTAATGGGAATTCTTAGCCACTTTTATTACTCTGTCCAGTGTTTTTAACACTCCTCAGCTAAATTATCATTTAAACATGTTGGGTTTTTTTGAAAAAAATATAAATTGTCCTCTTCTAAGTATGGGCTCTTACTGATTTTCTTTCTTGTACTTCCTCACAAGTCTTTCTTTCCTTAAGCCATTCTTCCTTTAAGCGTTCTTTTGATTCTGTTGGAGATTTATCTATTTCCTGAGAACTAGTAGATTTACAGTAGAGGATCACAGTAGCTCTCCTCTGTGTTCCTGTTTTGTATCTTGGGCTTTTCAAATGACTCACTTTGAAAGTCTTCCTTGGTACCTGCAACTAGAATATCAAAGATGTGCAAAATCACGGGTAGTGGCATGGCCTTGATAGAAATGTTTTTCTGAGCTTTATTTTCAAAGGGAAATTTGTGGTCAGCATTGCCTGGTTGTTTGCCTCTTGTTAATACTTTCTGGCGATGTCTTGAGCTGCCCCTTGAGTTTCCCTCTGTATTTCCATGCGTGACAGGGAAAGTACTCAGACTGAGCATGAAGCAGAATTTGTGACCTTCAGCTGTCGGAGGCAAGTAAGTTTACAAGCTCTTGACTTCTGAGATGTTTTGAGGAAGTCATTGAAGGGAACTTTGAGGGAGGTGTTGGCCTGATACCCTTTCAGGCTTGTCTTTGTGGGAGTTTGCATTTGGGAGACTGATAGGATCATTAAGAAGGCAGATTTTACATTGATAAAAACCAACCAAACAACATACCCCCCACAGCTGTGTATGCAGGGAGAAGGAAGAGGAGAACTCACTGGGTTCAGATGAACAGATATGGTTCTTCTTTCACTGTAAAGAAGAAGGGGTTGTAGACAGGTTACACATGTATGATCTATCTGGATACCTGATTTTGGTGCAGAAGTTGTGTTTCTTTTAACCTAAACTAATGTGAAACCTCACTTTCTCTTAAGTGCTTGTGACAGCAACTGCAGGGCTAGTGTTTTTGGAATTGCAGCCCAAATAAATGTTTAATTTCAAAATGACAGATTACTCAGGGCTGTCATTCTCATGCTTTTACTATGCAAGAGTGAACAAATACTATATAGTAAACTGTGGATTCGGCTTATGGACACATTTGCTCTGGGCTGAGCATCTTGAAAGAAGTGGTTTACAGCACGTCTTTAAAAATTGATTTCGCCATTGCCTCTACTGCTGGCCTAAGTGTTCCAGTATCTGCCAGGAGTAATTATAGACTGTTGGTTCAGATGTTGCTTAAATGTGTAAGCCTTGATGGGAAATGCAGTGGATTTCAGCCAGAATGCTAATTTTGATGTTTTGTCATTTCATAAAACTGTGAACTCAGAACAAATTATTTTTATACTGATCTGCTGATACATAATCACACAGCTAGTGCCAAATTCAACCTTGATGTAGCACTGGAATCTACAGATGCAATTAAGAGTTATCAGCATTAACTTCAGCTGGTGATTTTGTTGTCCACAGTATCAGAATGGCTTTATTTACCCAGGGTGCTAGGTAAGAGTATGTTCTCCAAGCTGAAGCTCCTGATGCCGAGGCTGGTTTGCTCCAGGAATTCAGTTTAAAGCTGGTGTATGGTTACATGAACTGCAGTTGAGCCTTTCAAATTACATTCTATTCCAAGTTGTCTTTTATAGTTTAGACAGATATTTTGTGAATTAACTTCACTGCGCTAGGGGTGTGTTTACTGTATGCTTCCTTTTTGTGTGTTTTATTGGTTTATTGTCTTTAATTTGTTTCTCCAATGCCATTATAGCCTAGAAGAAAATGAAAAAATACTGAAGTCACAGTAGAGGAATCTGACTCTCTTTTACTGGCAATGAGTAGAAATTATTCTTTCTGTCCAGCATGGGATAGGTTAAAGTGATAAAGACATTGGAATAAGAAAGATCTTCCTTAGCATTAGGTTAAGAAGCTGATGGATCCGACCACTTGGGTCCATCAGTCATTTTGGAGCCTGTTGCCTCCTTTCAACTAGTCATGAAGCTGTTACAGCTAGAATTTATGTAATAATCAGATGGCATTTTTTCCCCCCTCACAGTCAATGTAAACAAGATAGTGTCTCCTTTCAGAGCTTCAAGCATTCTGCAGTGTCATTTGGGACATGTCTGTCTGCCAGATCATTAGCACAGCCTTTAGGGATGCACACAGCTGCAGTGTCAGAGAAGGGAATGGATCTAAATAGGTTGGTGTACATGAATTCTATCAGTTGCTGTTTTCAGGGTGTGGAGAAGAAAGAGTGCTGCTACATACCCTCTTAATTCCTTAGGTTTTCCAGCGTGAGAACCTTGTCTTGGCATAAACTGATGAATGTTTCCTCTGTTTGACAAATTGTGGGTTATGGCAAGCATTCAAA